GACACAAAGTGACCACATAGACACACAAAGTGACCACAACACGACCACAAACAGACACAAAGTGACCACATAGAGACACAAAGTGACCACACAGACACACAAAGTGACCACAACACGACCACAAAGAGACACAACGTGACCACATAGACACTTGTCACTTTACACTGTTCCCACCTGAGCTGCTGCAGAACTGGACTCGACTGTCCTAATGCTGCTGCTGGGACAGAAGTCCTGGTTCTGGCTCAGTCCACTCTGAGCCAGAAGGAGCTTCAACCCAGTCCTGCTTCACTCATAGAATCCTAAACAGCAGCAGCAAGTGGTTTCCTGGTTCCCAAGTTCTGCACGTGTCCAACAGAATCTGTCTCTTCACTAATACTATGATCCACGCTGGCCCACAGTCTGAGGATCTAAAACATGACTTTAAAAGTCTGTTTAAACTGCTGGAGGACTGTAGGTAGTTGGGTTATCTCTGGACACTCTTTGTGTGGTTTCAACTGCAGTCAGAACCTCCTCTCAGAACCTCCTGTCAGAACCTTCCTGATGATCTGTTCCTGTTTAACAGACGGTTTGAACGTTCTTCACCAAACAAACACCACCAAACAAACAGTTGCTGCAGCACACCTGGACTCAGCACCTGTCACTTCCTGGAACTCTTCTTCACTGCTGCTTCGTCCACAGTGCACTCAGCAGCGCCACCACCAGGCTCAGACAGGCGCCTCCTCCCTGCTCACTGTGCTCCAGTCAGCAGACAGAGCAGATCTGCCAAAAGGAGAAATTCTCTGCAGAAATACCAGAAATCTATTAACAAGCTTCAGCTTCAATGGACCTGAATGTGCTCTTCAGAGTGAGATCCTGTCAGACCTTCATATTAATGGCTGGATCTCTGCTTCTGACTCAGATGTGGTGGTTTTAACTGAAGCCTGACATCCAGCCAGTAATCTGAATGAGTCAGTGTTTATTCAGAGCTCCTGATGGAGGCCTGCTGGTGTATAGATAATGATGGATGGATGGATGGATGGATGGATGGATGATGGATGGATGGATGGATGGATGGATGGATGGATGGATGGATGATGGATGGATGGATGGATGGATGGATGATGGATGGATGATGGATGGATGGATGATTGATGGATGGATGGATGATGGATGGATGATGG